TTTACTATTTAATTAGTTTCATTTCTAATTATATTTGTATCTATATTAAACAAATAAAATAATAAATTCTTTATTATCTACAAAATGCGCAAATTATCATTTACAACAATAAAATGCAAACCACTATTATTAAATTGTGATTTTGAGTATATGAAATCAAAAATGATCGTGATAAATTGATTATATAATATACCATTAGAAATAATAATTTTAAGATGTATTAAAAATATAAAATGATATACTTCCAACTAGCTGACCAATAGAGGAACAAAATATTACTGTTAATTATGATAACTTATATTCTGACCACACCATATTAATTGCGATCTTACCAAACTGTACCCAAACTGCCTAAAATAAGATTAATTAAAAAAAAAAATATAACAAAAGATAAGTGGCAATGCCTCAAATTCATAATAATACTGTAAGCGGTTAAATGAAATTATTAAAAAAATAAGTTCATTAATTATGTCATTAACAAGCCTTGTCGATTGTCATTACTAACTGCATCGAACTATACTAAAATGAGATTAGTAGATAAAGTGTTATTAAAAGGAAAATGAGATTAAATAGTTGTTACCAAGCCCTAGTAATTACGTTGTTACCAAGTCCCAGTAATTACGTTGTTACCAAATTCATCAGACTATACCAAATTAGCATTAGTCAAGATAGCATTAGAACGAAGATTAGAGATAATGCATGTAGCGATGTCTAAAACTCCTAAAACTCGTATTAACAAAGCAACGATGGAGGCAAAAAATTATTCATTAATCATGAAATAAAAAAATAAAAAAATAAATTGATTGATCATGACATTGCCAAGCCAATGATTGTGTTGTTACCAAGCCACATCGGTTGCATAGTAAAATTAACCATATTCATTCATATAATTATAAGAAAAAAGAAAAGTGAGGTTAGTAATTATCGTAAATAGTAATATAAAACTTACGTAAAGCCTCTTGATAATGATTGTAATGTACAAGACCAATAACGAGAACCTGTTATATTTTGATGTGATTGTTAATTATTGTAATGTTGAAAATATATAAAGGAAACAAAATAAAAACTATACGAATGTTCAGACATTTCATGAAGATTAATCTATTATTATAAATATGATAATCAAATAAATAAATCAAAAAAATCAAATAAAATGTCTAGTAGTTCAAACCCAAATACACCTGATGACTATATGTCCATTGATTTAACTAATAAAGTTATCGAATCGGATAGTATCCATGAATCACAAGAAGTAGACCCAAATGAATATTTAAAAGTTTATGACCATCTCACGTTGAATACGTATAAGGATTGGATTAGAGAAATTCTTCCAAATATTTCTGGAGCCAACTACATTCGAAAAAACAATAGAGCAAATAATGAGTATATGTTAAATGAAAGATATGTTTGCCATTGTTCTGGAAATCCCAAATCCACTGCTGGAACAATGGAGCGTGCAACTAAACCTTTATCAAGTAGCAATCCGCCTCGCCCTATACAAAAAAACCTTCAAAGAAAGTAGGTTGTAAATCCTATTTACGTGTACTAAAAAATAAAAATGAGGATGGGGATAAGGTTCTTATTATTTATTATAACCTCCATAATAGGCATGTTCCTGGGTCTGATGAAGACCTACGCCATTTTAACATATCACAACAAGTTAGAGAGTGGATTCGTGAAAGGGCGAAAGATAAGTTAAAACCTTCTCAAATCGTAATGATGTTTCACCAACGTGTTAATCGGTCCCATTATGCTAGTGATTCAGACTCCTTATCTATGATGCAAAAGCGAGATACATACCTGTCATATATAGATATATATAATATAGTTCATGAAGAAATGAAAGGTGTAATATTTTTAGGGAATGAACAAGAAGGCTATAACGAAGAAACTTCTATTAAAGAATGGATCGCTTCGTCGAAAGAGGATGGGTCCCATACTTATAGTAACTTGATCTGGGGTTCTTTTCTAGGTTTTATGTATGGATTTCAGACAGAATTTCAAAAAAATATATTAAAATCAGGAAGCGCAAGAACAGTCTGCATAGATAGCACACATGGAACAACATCACACAAAACACACCTCTTTACTCTGCTTGTACGCGATGATGAAGGTGGACAAGGTATACCTGTAGCTCACCTAATATCAGAAAAAAAGGCAAGTGAGACATTAATTTGTTGGTTAAATGCTATTAAAAACCAGAACCAAGAATGGAACCCCCACACCTTTATGACTGACTGTGATGATGCGCAGCAAATTGCGATTAATACTGTATATCCTAATGCTAGAATCTTGCTCTGTCAGTGGCATGTAAAACATGCTTGGCAAAAAAACAAAGGTAAGATTAAAGCAGATTCAGGTTACTTAAAAGCTCAAGAAAAAAACAAATATAATATTAGCATTGAACGAACAAAGAAACAAGAAATACAGAAAGCTGTATTGGATGAACTTGGTGCCATAATGAGAATTCAGGATGCCTCTCAGGTATGCAACAAATTAGATGAATACTTTACTAGATGGACAACCTTAGGTGAAACACAATGGATAGAGTATGTAAGGCGGGAGTACCTGAACAATTGTGAAAAATGGATTGATGCATATCGTCAATACGAACATCAAGAAATGGACACTACAAACTTTATTGAATCATGGCATAAGAAATTAAAATACACTTATCTAGGGGCCAGACAAAATCATAAAATCGACACTTTAATCTGGACTTTACGTGCTGCATTAACGGATGCAGAATTTGAACATGAAACTGTCCGCTTAATGATTGGAAGGATGAAACCCAGGCAGAAAGAACAAAGACACCGTGAACTCACCGGTGCAGATTTAGATGTTTTTGTTCTTCCAGGTAATCGATACTATCAAGTAAAATCATCAAAAGATGGTAACTATGAAGTTTATATGAAAGATCATGTACAAAAAAGTGATAAAATTAAACCCATACATTTTGAATGTACGTGTCCTGACTTTAAATTTCGAGGGATGGCATGCAAGCATATTTTTGCCGTGTGTCAAAAATTTTACCCAATATCAATTTCACATACGGCCTTTGTCCACCCAAATGAAAAAAAGCCTAAAGAAGTCCCTGATACTACTCTGGAAGATTGGGTTGGTGCGATTCAAAGGGTCTGGAATTGATATGACCAAGTAGATAAAAATCGAATAACCGGCAATGACTTGGAAGCAATTATAGATACTGAAATTAAGAAAATGTCTAATATTTCTTTGTATGATGAATGTGCTATCCCAAATTATGGCGAAAATAGAACCTATGGCTATATTACAAAACAGAAACGTTAAAATTATAATTAGTATAAATAGCGTTAAAAATTTTATTCAAAGTTTAAAATAAATAACTTATCTTTAACCGGATTATTTATTATCGAACGCATTGAATAAATTTCGTAATCTAAAATCAGTATAGTAACTATAAATTAAAATGTATGATAATCTAACGCTAATATTTTCGTAAATCGTGGAATACAGCTTATCTTATAAGGCTACGAATCTACATTATAAAAAAAAGGTAGTAGTGGTTAAATATTTAAAGCCAAAATATTTAAGATATTAACGTGATCCATACATTTTTTCTGTACTGGTAAGTTATCGCATTTCTAATTTTTGTAATCAGTGAATCTGATTGGCTAAGATAAATCAAGTCTTAAACCGGTTTGGGGGCACATAGATTCACGCGCTAGTGTAGAACCCAGGTGGACTACTTAAATTAGGTACCAAAAGTACACGTGTGGCTAGTTGTATCCTCGTGAAATTGATGTAATATTATAATTACCTGAATAAAGCTAAGTGCCGGGGACCTAAGTGGTCACCTTAATATTAAAAAAAAAAAAAAAAACAAACTTTTATTATACTAAAATTTTTTAATAATTTTAAAAAATTTTCTTAATAAAGTTAATAAAACAAATCTAAAATTACATATTTTACTTAGAAGATACTATATATATATAGCTAAAATCAATATTTAAAATTTTATTAAAAAAATTAAAATTTTTAACAAAAACACAAGCATATTTGCCTGTATTACAAATTAAAAGATGACTTTATTTAAACAAATAGTATTTATAAATAACTTAAAAACTATATTAAAAATTAGGTTTAATTATTATTGTTTATACTAATTCTAAATTTGGTTATAAATTTATATTACACTTTTATTATATTCTTATACTTAAACATACAAATTTTTAAATAGTATTTTTGTAAAACTTTTTAATTATTAGATACTAAAAAATATAAATAGAAATTACTATACTTTTTTTTTATATATATATAATTTTATTATTAAGAAATTCAAATTGCAATATTCTATTTATTTTATTTTTTTAAAGTTAAAAAGAACCTCTTGGGTTGGTAAGATTTTATTAAGTAAGTATTAAACACTATATTATGACAAAAGTATATCAAGTTACACGTGACTTTTGGTGCCTAATTTAAGTAGTCTACCTAAAGGTTCTATATTGTATTTAATAGTTAAAAAAAGTATACATATAAGAGAAATTAGAAAAAATACTTTTTTTTAAATCTAAAACCAATTTTAAATATTAATTTTTGCTATAAAATTTTGGTTATATTTAAAAAAAAATTATTAAAAATATATTCAAAATTTTAAAATTTTATAATTAAAATATTAGCTTTAGCATATTTTAGCTTTAGCTATTCTGTTACATAATACTGTATATAGTTATAATATATTAAACAAGTTGTAAATATTAATAATATAACAACAATATTTATAAATTTTATTACAAGTTAATAAAAACCTTACTACTATAATACATAGAAACGTCTGAAATAAAATAAATTTATACATTTTCCTTTAAATATATACAAATAAATAAATGCTTTTGTGTAATTATGTTTTTACATTATAATTTCATTATTGAAATACAAATTAGTAGTAATTAATACTATGTGCGGACAATATTATACCCTTTAAATCAACTATATTTAAATCTTCGCACTAATAATTAAAATTATGCAACATCATAAGGTTCTGGCTCTTCCTCAGTTTCATCTTCACCTTGCTCTGGCACTCCACTTATAACATACTCCCAAAATTGCTTCAATAATGCTTCATTCCCGCAAAAATTTTGAAATTCTTTTAATAACATATCAGGATTTGGCGCTAAATTTGTACCACTCTTGCTTATAATGTTTGAATCCCTAACACCGCCGCTCATCATATTTGAATCTCTAACACCGCCGCTCATCATATTTGAATCCCTAACACTGCCACACATCAGATTAGAATCTCTACCAACCACGTTCGAATTGGTTAATAATGAAGCCGGCAAATGTGCGCTATTTCTAACAATAGCATTGCTCATTAATGATGATGACGGATTATGTGTTGTAAACAATCTATTGTTCATCCACAAGTATCCATCTTCACAAATTTGTATAAATGCAACTCCAGATCTGTGTATGTACTGTGAATATTTAAATGATGTTTTACTGTACGAATATTTAACCTCCACATCTTCAGGAAACACATCGTCAGCTTCAACATCTAATATAAACTTAAAATGTTTAATTAATTGTTTCTCAAAATATAAATGTTGATTTAATGCTGGATGTAATTTTTTTCCTAATGAATCCAATGGTGGTGGTAATACAGATAATTTTACAAGGGTAGGTGATTGAAATGGATTGTTATCGGTCAAACTCATCGCCTGTTCTATAGGTACTTCGACTAATTTAAGTCCATACCTATCAGCGTTTCCGCTCCATTTTTGAAGTAATTCTTCAATAAGTCGTGCCGTACATCCTAGCCAATGAAGTTGAAAATGATAGCAATTATCGGGGTTAAATACCATATCATAATGTAATGTGGCTGTTTCTCTTCTATCACTTTTTTTTAATGGATCAATATCAATTTGCATGGCTTTAGTTAATTCGATCACTGGTCGTTTTGAAAGCTTTGATGTAGCAGTTGGAATCGGAGAATTTGGCGCACTTGATGTAGAAAACTTTGCGGCCTTACTCACGAACCATTTTTTTGCTGATTTTCGTTCTGCATGATCTTCATTTATCTGATAGAAATAATACCCATCTAAAAATTGATGTCTTTTAGTACAATGCTCAATCACTCCCTTTTCTTGTAATTCATTGCCAAATGACACAGCATCTTCACGAGTATTAATATCAGGGAATTTTTTTAGCAGCCAATCGACGTATTCGTTTCCAACAATTGCATTTTGATAAAATCGTAAATGCCATCGTCTATCTCGTACAATCCCAGTTGTTGGATTCATCATTGCTGAAACTATTGTTGAAATTTTAGAATCTCTACTAAGCCTTTCTTCTGGTGGATTGACGGATGCCCGTCGTGGATATACATCCTCAATGGATTTCACAAATATTGATGGGTCACATGTTGTAAGTTGGAGAGACGGAGTTACATTCTCTTTTTTTGTCTTATTATTAGCTTCTTTTCGCTCATTTGGTGGAGTCCAAGATGCTTTCTCAAAAAGTTCAAAAAATTTATATATTCCACTCACTCGAATTTCTTCTTCGTCCAAAGTTTCATTTGCGGTTTTTAGTAGATTGCTTGGAACATTTTCCATTGGAATCAACACAAATCTCGTTCTCCAAAACCTTAAATCATCTGAATCAGAAAGATCATCTTGATATCCACAGGCCAATTGATCGACATGATTCCATTTATAATTAGTATTTGGATAATTAAATTTAACTTCCCTAAGTTCATAAGATTCTTGGCATCTTGGCCATATAACACAAGAATATGGTATCGGATCGAGTTTATATTCAGTTTTACGCAAATATCTCTTGACTTCAACATGTTCTGCCGGATAATAAGTCAATTTGTGGACATGACGTCCCATACTGAGGTAACATGGATTAGATACTGCAAACGAATTCAATTGCGTAAATTGTTCTTTGTTATTTCTAAAATTTGGTGATTTAGTAAATTCTGGACTTATCGAAAGATTATCAGTCATATTACTTGTAGATTTAATGTTCTTTGCACTCTCTATAACATTAACGGAGCCGGAAGAAGGTACAATCAATTGATATCCTTGAGCTAAGCGTTGTGAAATCATTTCATTTAACAGGGTTTCAGTTTTACTTTCTTCGCTGCTGTGTTCTTGATTCATTGAGAATGTGTCAGGGTCCACAGAAATTGTATAAGTACCTTCTTCATAACAGTACTCATTAATTGTAGGGAAATGATCGGTGGTTAAAGGAAGACACGCCGGAGTGTGGAGCGCTGACCATTTAACTGAGTTCATTAATTTTGGTTGTGGAAAGACATGTTCCCATCTTTTCAATCTAATTCCATTTCCAGCTTTATTTGAGCGGTTACAAGGATTCAATAAAACTTGGTGAACATGTCTCGAAGCATTTACTGATCGTCCTTTATCACTAGCAAATGAGCTTTTATTAGATTCTGGAATGCTTCCTTTAGGTGATGGTGGAATTGAATTCCTCACTGATCGAGTCGATGACTTGATAGGTATTGCCTCAACAGTGCTAGAAGTCACCACTGGACCATCATCATCATCAGTTTGATCTCCTCGGAAACTTCCTTCTTGTGAACTTTCATGTAAATGAGATCTCATAAAAGGTTCTCTACTATTAATAATCGAAGAATCAATTAAATTACTTCCAGAAAGTCTTGCACTTTTAAAATTGGTTGGTCTATTTTGTTCAGGATGAAGAGATGACATCAAACCAAGCGGTATTAATCCTTTTGGTAAACTTCTTGCTAATTCACCTGAAAAATTCTTTGAATACATAGTAAAATCATCATTACTTTTGCGCAGTTGTGATAAATCAGTTCTATTAGCCGTGTTCAATGAATCATGAACATTTCCGTATGGAAATCCCATTTGTCTTGACTTCGATTTTACATCGGTAAAAATTTCATCATCATATTGATCATAATCAAATTCACCATCTCCTGAAGGCAATCGTTTATCTGGCAAATGAGGAATCAATATTGAAGATATTTCATGTTCCATGATTCCCATCATTTGTATTTCATACATCCTACATCTAGGAACAAATTTGCCAGGTTTAAGCGGTTTATCATGATATCTTGAATAAAAGTTACATTCTACCCAATCAGGAGTTTGATAATACACATAATTAGCATCAATTGTTGGATTTTTTTCATCAAAATCCAGAGGATCCCTCGATTCTAAATACATATCTTTTGCTTGTTGCCATTTATGTGTTTTTTTATCAAACCAATCAGGTAATGGAGCTTTGGATATTTCTTGAGATTTAAATTTAAATAATGGAACTGCATGAAGTGGAGCTTTTGATAAACACACAAGATCCAAACCAATTCCATTATCAACTATTCGTTCAGTCGTGATTCTCAAAAGTTTTTTGTCAACTTCAAATCTTCCACATCCAGGAGTTACTATGATAATCGATAATCCTGTGCGCATTAAGTCTCTATCTACATAATGTTTATCAAATGGATTCAATGCAAGGTTAATTGCTTCCAATATATTGCCTTCAAAAGCATAGGAATTCTTTCCAGCCAAAACATTATAACAACCATCTTGACATTTCTTATTTCTCATCAATATTGCAGGTTGATAATTTAATAGTTCATTTTTCAAAGACATCAGGACACAATTCCAATCGGAACGTGTTTCCCAATCCACTATAACCTTGTAAAAATCTTTGCAAGATCTTTTATAATAATCTTTCATTAAAGAACTTTCAGCTTGTAGTTCAGGATCATTTTCCAAATATTCGAAATCATAAAATACTCTTGAAAACAAAACTATTGAAACTACATGATTTGTTCCTAACTGTTTCCAATGTTTAAATAATTCCGAAAAAAATTCAATCGCTTTTTCAAAATATAATTCACCATCTTCATCAAATTCCCACATTTCTCGAGACATTTGAACAAAAATAAACAATTTTGCAGATTCGGATCGAAATATTGGTTTTGTTTCACCTGTTATATACCCACATGAGACCTAATTTAAACATATATTAATTTATGCTTAAGATGTATTAATTAATATCAATATAATAATAACATCACCTGTCGTTTTTTAACATAAATCTTTTTAACTTGCGCACGAATACATCCAGCAAACTCTATTCTTTTACCAAGATATACGCAGGTTCCCATGAGACTACGAACCAATCTCCACATATCACCTCTACCAATATATTGATCACGAAATGAGAATTCAATATATTCTGCTGAAACTGCTTCTGCATTAACCTAATTTAATTTAAGATTTAGTGAAAAAAATATATATATATATTTTTAAATAAAAATAATAAATATAAAAATTTACCTCTCGAACAATAACATTTGTTCTCGGTTTAAAATTAAATATCTGTGCAATATGATTTGCAAGCGAAATCTTTATTTAAAAAAAAAAAAATAAAAATAAAAATAACCAATAAATAAATTACTTTAATAAACCAATTCATCGTAATTCATATAAAAATTAACTTTTTCAAATATAAAAATTTTACCTGTAAAATTGGTTTTTCCTTCCCAATATATTCTTTATCGAATGTATCAACTTTAACAATTAAATGGTTTGTTATATCAGAAGATTCTATAGAATGATAAATCTCTAATAATTGACCTGGTTTTGCATCAGGAAAACAATCAGGGTTCATAATGAAATCTTGTTTTGAAAATTTTTCATCATGAACCCATAAATTCAACATTTTTGATAAAGGAGTAACGGATGTCGATATGAAGGATGATGGAAAACTTGAACCAAATGTTTGTCCTGAAACCGCAGCGCTGGATTTTTCATCCATTTTTGTCACGATACGGGTTTATACTAATAGAAATAGTACGTAAATTATTTGATTGGATCAGATTAAGGAACTAATAAAAAAGCGGAATGGCGTCAGTATATCACTAGTCCAAAAAAAAAATTATATATTTTTGATAACGATTAGTACGTACGTACGTTACCAGTATCGGTATGTACGTATATATGTACGTACGTACGTACATACGTGCGTATCTCTTTTTTAAAATTAAAATCTGCTAACCACAAAAGGTAGCAATGAACGAATTCGGCGTAATCGAATTTTTCTTAAAACTACGATCCAGTAAGTAAATAAAATATGGCCAAATGTCTTCTAACATAAGCGACTTTTTTTTCTTTTTTTTTTTTATTTGAAATTATTATGAGACTGTAACTGTTCTTTTATTATTTTATTATTATTATTATTATTTTTTTTTTGCTATTATTGTGAGACTGTTCTATCTTTTTTCCTTTTTTTTCTTGGATGCAGAGAAAAAAGAAAAAGTCAAATCTCATCATTTAATGCTTGTTGAATGGTACACAAAGAACTTTCATTTTTATTAATCATGTGCTTTTGTGTAATTGAAAGGACAAAGGGTTTACATTAAAAATGAATGGCCTAAATTAGAACTTGGATCGATATTTAGGTTTTCATTGTGTTATATGAAATATTATTACGTTATTTAATAATAGATGCTCTAGCTTTCGGTTACCCTTTGTTATGATGAGTTTTGCAGGACATACGACTTAAACTAATGCCATGAATCTGAAATTCGAATCATTATATTTTATCTAAGCTTTTGTCATAATTAGGCAAGAACAAATATATACCACATGACACATTCGAAGGATATGAAGGGAAAACCTGTCATCGGGCTTTCGGTTATATTTTGTTCCCTAATAAATTAAATATATTGTGTCCAGTACAAAATATAATTGAGAACCGGTTTTCCCTTGGCGGCACTCACTTTACATTTGAAAGAATTTTATTAAAAAGAAGTATTTTATTATACCCTACGCGAAAAAAAGAATTATCATCCAATTTATTGCCTTTTAAAGTTTTGGTCAAAAAAGTGAAATGCTTTAGAAACAATTAAAACGCTGATCGCTATGTAATTCAATTATGTAATATCACGATTTTTTACAGGGTTGTATGATACAGTGCAGCAGTGAAAACTTAAAATGTTCACTTACTGGTTTTGGCTTGACGGCCTGGTCTATGGTCTCTAGTAGAGATGGGCTTCATGCATGCGCATGTTGTGAATTCATGCGCATTATTCACACCAAGATTTGTACGGTGTGGTCCTGATATCTAGGGGTGGATTAAGGCGGCTTCATGCGTGTGCATTAATGCGCATTAGTGCTTATTCATAAGCATATATTTCATCATCACACTTGTTCTAATGTTTTAGGTCTACGTAAATTAAATATATGCATACACTTTTAAACAGGGCCGGTCAAACTTGGTCAAGATCGACCGTTAACCGATCGGTGCTTCGTAACCAACTTTTAACAAGTTTTTAACAGTTTAGTCAAATATCTTAAAAAAATGAAACATAACGATAAAACTCTTTTATTATTATACAATCGAAGACACATTGTTCTAATGAATTTTTTATTATACTACGACGCAAATAAAAACAAGGTAGCTTAACAACTTCCAAGTTTTTCATATCAATCATTATTAATAAAGTATAGTCAGACCCTTCTAAGTACAACTTGTAGACTTTTAACATGCATATAAAAAAAATTGCATCTATAGAGATTAAGTTGCATTTGTAGCATTCGTAAACTGCCCAAAATTTAAAATATAGGAGATAATCAACATTCCCAAGTTATGATGAAATGTGTCGGGTATGGGAAGATTGGTTAGACGCGTTATCGGTACAGATCAGGGGTACAAAAATTTTTTTCGGAGTTTAACATTGATTAATATATAATTTGGTAACTAAAATTTAATTTTTGTGACCAAATGCTTGGATAACTAATTTTAATTTTGGGGACAAAATGCTTGGATTTTGGTTGCTTTATTCTGCAAATGCGCCGAAAGATAAACTATTCTTATACGTATTTATTATTATATAATACGAGTTGCTATGCGAAGATTTATATTTAAAAAAAGAATTCAATGTCTTAACCTTTCAGCCCATATCTTGATAAATTTTAGTTATATTGATAATTCAATAATCAAGACTAGATTTTAAGATTTCTTAAAATTATCAAAAGTTCATCGAGATATATTGTGAATACTGTAGTAATATCAGAATATTGTTTTTTTTTTAAACTAAAAAAATGCCATATGCCTGTTTCTCTTGACGGATGCCCATATATATATTTTAAAGTTCGCTTTTAGTTTATATTAATAATAAAAACCTTAATTATAAATTTTTTCGACTTGATTTAGAAGTACTGTACGTAGTGATAATATCAAGATATTGTACGTATTAAAATCATAAGATTAGGTCATGATTTTAGACCCCGACTTTAAACTCTATATTAAGTAGCGATTTTCTTAAATAAGGTAAACCACCTTTTTATCTTAGGTTTCACCCTATCGTTAACGGAATATGAATACTGCCCAATGAAGACTAGAAACTTTAAAAGATTTCCATTTGCGTCGTAATGATTGTGATAGATCAGCATTTCCTTTGTGCATTGAAAACTAATTCGGATCAATTAAAAATATCTCCTTCTTTCAACTCCAGACCCTCATACCTACGAAATTTCATTAGTTTTTCGAACATCCACAAATAATGGATTTAAATACAGGACATCTAGTTATAGATGATGAATGTTCTATATTTTCTGTTGATTCGAATGCGCCATTGTTGATAGATGATGATTACTTTAGTAATACTCTATCACAGGAAGAACTTATTAATAATAGGTCTCGTACTCATGATGGAAGGCAAGGCATTTCAGGTTCTAGTTGGGCAGCGTATATAAATGTCACGTGAGTTTGTTTACCATCATCGCGAAAATGACGCCCAAGGGCGTTATTTCGGGTCACGTAATTTGAAGAGTGCCAATAATCAATTTAGTTGAACGCGGTTCATAATTTTTGTTATTAAAAAAAGCCCTCAGCTAAATTAATTATTAACTTTCTTAAAACCAAGTCTCCCGAAATAACGCCCCTGGGCATTATTTCACGATGATATGTGTAACTATTTTTATTAAGCATTTTAAACTAAAAAAAAAAAATTCATTTCATAGTTGTTTGATTGCAGGAACTGGAATTTTTGGAATGCCATATTCCATTAATCAAGGAAGTTGGGTTGCAATTGCATTAGTAGCAATTCTCATGCTAATAACCCAATATACGAGCATAATTTTAATCAAATGTCTTTACTATGATGGGTATATTTAATATTAAATTTCCTGAAAGTATATTAGTTAAAAACAAAAAATTATTTGAATATTATTGATTAATACATTATATATATTTTTTGTCACTTAAAACAGCAAAAATCGTTTAAGCACTTATGCAGATATCGGTTATCATGCGTATGGAATTGTTGGAAAATATATTTTGATTGGATTAAATAACATTATTTTGCTAGGAATTCCGATATTCTTCTTACTTATTGCAGGAAAGAATCTTGATAATTTAGTAACTGTACATTTCGAAATACACGTAGAAACACGAATATGGATATGTATAGCTGCTGCATTAATTTCCATACCATTTATATTAATGAAATCATTAAAAGATGTGTTTTTTTTAAGGTTAGTTAGTGATAAATTTTTATATACAATAAGTAAAAACTAATAAAATTAAACGTTACTTTAATTTAATATAGTATTTTTGGCGCGCTTTCGACTTTAGTTTCTGTAATTGCTGTCGCCGCGTTGTCATGTAGGGATTTTACTGATGTCATGACTTACGATGATCCTTGCTCGCACAATTTATACAAATTTCCTATATCATTTGCGGCAATCTCACTCACATATGGAGGAAATAGTCTATTTCCATCTATTGAAAGAAATATGCGGAAACGTAGAGATTGGAATAAAGTGGTAACTGCCGCTTTATTAACTTGTACAATTATGTATTTGATTGTTGCATTTTCTGGATATTATGTGTTTGGTGACTGCAAGATTGTCCGTGCAAATGAACATGAAGGTAAAAACATGGAAAATAATATGTTAATTTATATATCTTTGGTCGAATAACTTATATTTCTATAAAATTAATATAATATTATAATAATATGATTAGGTCCAATTGTGACAATAGCAACCGTATTTATTACTATTGACGTGCTCCTTACGGCACCAATCCTTTTAACATCATTCGCATCTGAAACAGAAGAATTTTTAAAGATTACACGCGAACATCATTCATTAATTTCCGAATTTTTATTAAGAGTTTTATTTCGTTTATGTATTGTCGTTGGATGTGTGATTATCGCCATTTTTGTACCATTTTTTGGTGATTTCGTGGCATTATTTGGATCATTAGCGATGTATTGCCTTGTATTTATTTTTCCCGTGATTTTTTATATGAAATTATTTGGATGGAGTAAGTTATCCTTTCTGGAATTGATTTTCGGTTTGTTCGTATTGTTTGTGGGGTTTGCCGCATACTTGGTTGGAACTATAGATGCTATAAGTTCATTGATAAATGATTTACAAAGTAGCTGCTTACATGTTCCAGATTGAAAGAAATTTTAGTCCTGATGTTTCTTTTAACATTATAAAATTTGGTTTTGTTTTTTTTTTTATAATTATATGACGCAATCTAAGTGATATATTGATATAGTACGTTTGATATCTTGATCTTTTTTTATAGTGACCTCGTTCTTTCAACGTAAACAAAAACAATCTAAATTTCCTTTTCTAGGTTTTGCACGTTCCATCAATGATCATCGTGTTTTTTTCTTTTTTTTTTTAAAAAAAAGCAAAATGTCTCGTGCCAATTCGTTTGTTCGTCTTTCCGTCGAGAAGAAGTAGAAGCATTATTAAAAGAAATGGAATAACATATGTGCGTGCCGGGTGAGTTTTTGAGTTATGTCAGACAAAGGTACGCTGCTACTGTCAGTGTAAACTTCTGGGATGAAAGCTAGCTGTTTTGGCTGTTAAACGTTCTCCCAGTTACTGATGGTACACCCTATCGGATTTACGATGAGTAATGCATAAGAATTGAAAGCTCATAGTGTTGGATGTGAACGTTCTTCTATAGTCATAACGAAAAAACATGTTGCTCATAAGTTAATTCTATATACAAAATTCTTTAGTGTTGGTTATTATTCTTATTATTATTAAACCAACTTATAAAAAAATTTTTCAATTTTTGACCCTGCCTGGTTATGAAAACCAATTAAAGAGATAATTAAATGCACATTGACGTTGTACGTACGCACGTACAGTACGTCAAAATCAAATTTTATCGATTAGAATTAGCTTAATAAATGATTAATCAAGAATAAAAGAATCTCAAAAATATCCATTTGATAAATCAAATTTCCTGGATATGATCCAGTACAAGGTTAATATTTAGAAAATGATATGTATGCAATTAACATAACTTATAGTGTGATTGAAAATAGGGTCTGAGTAATTCCATGAATCAGACTTTATACGTAGAAAGTTATAAGTGTATGAAAAGTTATTCATATATATAAATACCGTTTAGCACTGCATAAGTATCCCTAAAAATAATACCCCTCTTGATTAATTCTTGAATAATACCTGGAGGTAAATTATATTTCATATGTTATATCCACACATTTTTCGAATCTACGGCACAGGCTGCGCAACCTGTGTCAGAATTATGCTAGCTACGTAGCTTGAATTTTAAAAATTGCACTGCGAAAATTCTGCGCAGTGACCCATCCTTAGTCAACCAGGTTAACACTCGTTTTCTAAAATTTCGGTTTTCTTGCGCATAATTCTCATTGGTTCGTCATCCCGTCAATATCCAATCAGATGGAATGACTGATGATGTGTCATTAACTGCCAAGATCAAATCCGATAAGATCCAATAAAAAAAAAAATAAATAAATACGGTTTCCGAATCGTTTGTACTCTTTGTCACTCTTGATTCGGTTTGCGTAAAATTAGGTAAATATTATCCCTGTTAATTATGAATTTTACAATTAATGATTTTTTAACCTACATGATTTAATATTTCGATCCGTAGATTAATTTATACAAAATGAGTGCTGAAGAAAGTAATCTTATTTTAGATGAAGTTACTGGAGAAAAAGTGTCAAAAAAGTATGAATATATGATTTATTCTAATTAAATTTGGATAAAATATTTCGGAAAAAAAATGAATTTTTCATTTAATTCAAGTGAGTTGAAACGTCGTAACAAGCAACGGGAGAAAGAACGAGAGAAAGAAGCGAAAAAAGTAAACTTCTTATATTATTTAGTCATCGTATCATCTTAAATTCCTACATATCTTTGATTAGTACAACTGTTTTTGAATTAGGCGGCAGCGAAAACTGCTGATGTAGCAGCGAAACCTGCAAAAACCGAAAATGATGAGGCTTCAGAAGAAAATTTGAATCCAAATGTAGGTCTAACCATTTTAAAGTATAGCAATATTTATGATAATTATGATAACTTTTTTTAACTTATTTCAATTATAATAGCAATATTTTGAAATTCGGTCAAAGTCTATCAAAAAACTTCGTGAAACCCGTAATCCAATTCCTTATCCACATAAATTTCATGTGGATATTTCAATTCCTACTTTTATTGAAAAATATGGCCATCTTGAACCTGGCCAACACTTAAGCGATGTAGTTCGATTGGCTGGACGAATTCATAACAAAAGAGCTAGTGGATCTAAGCTAAGATTTTATGATTTACATGGTGAAGGTGTTAAAATTCAAATCATGGCTCAAGCACAGTATGTATTTTTTTTTTATTATTGTAGTGAGTTTTAATCTTTTCATTTACAAGAAAAATTTTATAATTCTTCAGAGATTCTGAACAAAATTTTGCGGAGATACATGACTTGATTCGTCGTGGTGATATTGTAGGTGTGCGTGGCTGTCCTGGAAAATCAAAGAAGGGTGAATTGTCAATTTTCCCAAAGGAAGTTGTACTCCTTTCTCCTTGTTTGCATATGTTACCAAAAGAATATTATGGATTTAAGGATCAAGAAACACGTTACCGTCAACGTTACCTTGATTTAATTATGAATAATTTCGTTAGAGAAAAATTTAACGTCAGAGCTAAAATTATTAAATATGTTAGAAAATTTTTAGATGATCTTGAATTTCTTGAAGTAAATTTATAATTTCTATTTGATACTTGTTTTATTTCATTATAGTATAAATTATTTTATTCATTATATATATTTTTTCTCAGGTTGAAACTCCAATGATGAATATGATTGCTGGTGGTGCAACAGCTAAACCATTTATAACTCATCATAATGATCTTAAACTTGACCTATTTATGAGGGTGGCTCCAGAATTGTTCCTTAAAATGCTCGTCGTTGGTGGTTTAGATCGTGTTTATGAAATTGGTCGTCAATTTCGTAATGAGTCCATTGATCTTACACATAACCCTGAATTTACTACATGTGAATTTTATATGGCATACGCTGATATGTATGATTTAATGGAAATGACTGAAAATATGTTATCTGGCATGGTCAAAGCCATCAATGGTGATTACAAGATTAAGTATCACCCTCAAGGGCCTGATGGAATAGAAATGGACATAGATTTTACACCGCCTTTTAAGAGAGTTAGCATGATCGAAACACTAGAAAAACGGTTGAATGTTAAATTCCCACCGGCTTCAGAGTTGCATACCGATGAAACCAATAAATTTTTGCAAGAACTTTGTGTAAAACATGAAGTAGAATGCTCGCCACCAAGGACCAATGCACGTTTATTAGATAAAGTAAGTGAATAATTCAAATAAATTATTTAAACTTAAATTTTTCATTTTTTTCGTTCTTATTTCCAATTTGATTTAATACTATAGCTTGTTGGCGAGTTTATCGAAGTGGACTGCGTATCTCCGACGTTTATCACTGGTCATCCACAAATGATGTCTCCTCTTGCTAAAAACCATCGAGACATCCCAGGTCTTTGCGAACGATTTGAATTATTTGTCGCCACTAAAGAAGTATGCAATGCTTATACTGAATTAAATGACCCTTTTGATCAACGTGATCGCTTTGAGGAACAAGCTCGTCAAAAAGAACAGGGGGATGATGAAGCCCAACTTATTGATGAAACTTTTTGTACAAGTTTAGAATATGGACTTCCGCCAACGTAAGGTCTTTCTTTTTGAAAAAAAAAAATCATTTTTTCAAAATTAAACTAATGTTATAAATTTTTTAGTGGTGGATGGGGAATGGGTATCGATCGTCTTGCAATGTTCTTGACTGATAGTTCAAACATTAAAGAGGTTTGCCTTATTCATTCAATCAATCATCAAATTCATTTTCGATTGTATTCTATTACTTATGTATTTGTATATTTTTCAGGTCCTTCTTTTCCCTGCCATGAAACCAATTGACGAGAAAGAGAAAGAATTAGTAGCCCAAATTGAAGCTTCTCTTAAAAATAACTAATTTTATTTCCAACTCCATATCAGTATATCCGAAGAAAATTAAGGATAATCATGAGTCTCTTTCTAATTTCGATCTTGATTAATTAAAGAATGTTTTATAGATAATATAATTTAAATAAAAGTAATTTGTTTAAATAAATAACTTAAGAGAAAAGTTTTACTATAATATGAAGAAATTTGGTTAACAAATTTTGAATATAAAAAAAATATATGCTTGTAACTTTTTGATTTACACAAGAATTTTAATACTAACGCTAAGCATTAAATGCTATATTTACTGTTGAGGCACGGAAAATTCTCACACGGAGCACCCTAAAATATCACGTGTAAATAATTAGTAAAACATCACATGTAATTAGTAATTTCTGTGTTGATTTAGCATCAAGTCCTCATGCCCATGCTATGATTTGAATCACCCCGTGCCCTCAACCCTAGCTATATTTTGGTCATATAGCAATAATACTTTTTATCATATTTACAATAGGTTTTAATAATTTTTTAATATTATAAAATGTTGTTTATCTATTACTATAACAATTATTCAATCAAATTTAATGTTGGTAGAACATACATATGTACTAGAGATTGGAACTATTTTAATAATTATATAAATTTTGTGAAATTTTTGAATAGACTGGACTAGTTAGGCCTAGTTATTATCTATAACTCTGGTTATACTAGTGTCACTTGTACCCTAGAAAATTTTGAAAGTATTTATATAATACTTGAGTTGCATAAAGAAATACAAACTGATATGGATAGTGCAATCTATAATAAAACATCTAAAATTATATAAAATTGATAAAGAAGGTTTAAAGATTTGAAATTGGCTTGTCAAAACCTAAGTAAAGAAGTAGTGTGAATTTTTAATAGTGTTACAGAATAGAGTTAAATTAAAACCAAATCTAAAAAGCTAAACAACAAAAGAGTTTAAGAGATTCTACCAATTAAGTTACTAAAATTATATTAATATACTCTGAATATATATATATATTAAATAAAAAGAAAAACAAACTATTAGATATCTAAAACTGAACAAATTAATTTTTTTGGGCTATTAAATTGGAAGTTTAAACAAATAAATAAAAACTTTATAAAAATAGATATAGTTAGACCTCTTTAAATACACCCACTCTAAATGCAGCACCCCTTTAAATATATAATATAAGCTCAGATTCATGGTGGAACTTATAGATAAATATATGTTCTTTATTCTGTAAGTGCACTCTAACTGTCTGGCCCACTTATAAAAACACCCTCTATAAATATATTCATGTGATTACTAGCCAATTAAATTCATTATTTCAAAGCTACTAAAGTTATATTATTATGTACTAATAGTAATATTGCAATTTTATTGGTGTTCTCTAATTGTAGCTCTCTCTAAATACATACTCTAGAGATGGTCCCAACAATGTGCATTTAAGAAAGTCTAACTGTACTAGAATTATTATTATTATTATTATTATTATTGGTATTAAGATAAGGCCTTGCTTGTATCTTTATTAATTAATTTATATAAGTGATTATATAGAAAACTATATAAAAATTTAATTTGTATAAAGACAAATACATATAAATTATATGCAAGAATAAAAGCTCAGACTAAAAGCTCAAACTAAAAGCTTAAACTAATTATCTGCGACCTAAACCTACTAGAGTGGCCAAGACTCA